GGGGGGGAGTCAGGAGGGATTTATTTACTTCGGACAGAGCGAGTCCCTGTCGGACAGCAAACGCTACCGAGGTTTTCCGATGGATTCTGCGGATTTGCAAGGAGGTGGATGCCCGGGCTTTTGTCGAGGAAAAGTCCTGACACGGTAATTCTAGTTCCCAGGTGACGGAAGGAAGGACGAAACGTGGCGTTTGCGGCGAACATTGCGGATCGAACCGACTCTGGAAGCTGTTCGCGTCCGAGGCGTTCAAGTAACTTGTTTAATCGTCTCGATAGATCCCATCCCTCGTCCAATGGAATTCGTACTACGGTGATCAGTCCCTCTTGCTACTAGCAAAATTTTGAGACTCGATTTTAACCCTCGAGACGAGATAGAGATGTGTGACTGAGGTTAAAATAATGAATTACCGAGTATTGTTTGTAACAAAGTGTATGATGCGAAAAGCACAATCGGTGCTAGACGTACAGGTGTTAATGTAGTCTGCTTTATGGTATCAATCATGTTAGTTATATAGAAGATGCCTGCCAGCCAGAAGTTGGGCACTTTAACACGACGTATATAGAAAATGAACGTACGTGTCGTTGTCACAGTATAGAGAATACGCAAAGATGTGAAATACAAATGCAGTTCGTATTGAAAAGAATAGCTCCGAGCCAATAGCTCAGGATAAGATACGAAAATTTTCCGTTGGACACATCGGGTACGCGCACAATCGGTTTATCGGTCTGGAATATCACGAAAATCGGAGAATTTGATGAAACGAAGGTGATTTCTTTTTTCTTTTCTTTTTTTTTCTCCCCCCCCCCCCCCGGGGGGTTCAGGATTCTAGGGCAGAGAGGTTTAAATTTATCGTTCTTACCGGGTCTTAGTTGACCTTCTATGTCGGCCGTGCTACCCTTCTTCACCTTCTCAATGACGGCGCCCATCGAGCCATCCTCCAACAGTTTGCCGCCGACCACTTTCAGCCCGAGTATGCTACTACTGCTTCCGGAGCCGGGCTGCTTTCGCAACACCATGTGGCCAATGATCTTCTGGCCGTCTTTGCTCGTTTTCCAGGATAACGGATGCTACGAAGCGCGGAGAACGGGTTTCTTTGGTTTTTGTTTTTCTCTCTTTCGTACCGCCGTCTCGTTAGACTTTTGTCGCGGATTCGCGCGTGAGATGAGAAGGGGCGGAGGGCGTGGAGGGACCGCGTCTGCGTCTCACACGCCGCGGAGAATTTGGAAACTGGCCGTGCGAACGCGCGAAAGAGAATAGATCACTGGTCGGAGGATGCACGTGTGGTGTGTCTGGTAGACAAACGGTGATGCATTCGTTTCCAAATTTCGTGGCGTGTGAAGATCGACTCTCGATCGCTATGAAAGTAACTCGCAAGTGAAGCGAAATGTGACGTTGATGGCTTCAAGCTGACCTTCCCGCGTCAGTATATCCTGCGTCTAGCTGGCGTATATTTTCTATAGGCGTTAATCAAGCCGCCAAAAGAGCTCGGTCGATCGATCGATCGCGTCGTCAGTCGCAGGATATTTCTGTCGCGGGCGATTCTGATGAAAGAGAAGCTGAAGAGAGTGATGGGTAGCCTTTCCGGCGATACGATGCGCGCGACACACAGGGAGAGGAGGACACTCGAGCCTTGTCATCGACTTGATTATAAAAAAAAATCCTGGCGCAAGCCTATTTGCAGTAAAAGTAAACGCAATTCGATCTCGAAACACTCTCCTCCAGTGTCCCCCGCACTTTTACAGAGAACGTACGTGTTCGTATGTGAGGTGCATCTACATGTACGTAATAAATGGTAGAACGATCAAGCTCGACAAAAAAAGGAACGAAAAGGAGGAAAGCACGCTACACGTACATCTAATGATCGTACATCTAATACAGTATGAATAGTCACTACGCTCATGCTTTGCAAACATGCTTTTCTTCATCAACGAGCACACGAGCAGATAAAGCGACGATCCGACCCCTTCGAACGTCCGATGTTCGAGGTCCTTCAAGGTTTCCAGGCATGCGACAGCAACGTGATTTGCATTTTCGTTAAAAAGAAGAAGAAGAAGAAAAAAAGAACACCGTGGAAGTGAGGTATCTCTGTCGAAGAGCGACTCGGTATTCATTTGGTGGATCTACTTTAGGGAGAGGGGTCGCCTCCTTCCGGTTTCCAGTCGATCATGAGTGAGTCGTGGCACTTTGATTTCGCAGACTTATGTTATTCGCTACTGGAGACGACTCGATTTCCATATGGAGCAAAATTTCAATTACACTTCTCTCGAGCTTTGTGATTCCTCACGATTTTTTGCTTAACCCCGATATAATTGGCTGGCTGTGAACTACCGGTGTCACGTATTCGTCTTTCGTCCCTGCTTATATTATTTCTTTCGTTTTTTTTTTTTTTTTTTCTCTTTGTTTGCCCTAATTAAACGATCCGGGTATCTTCTCGGAGATCGTTCTCGTCGCCGCCACGACAGCGTCGAACGGAATTGCCGTGACTAAATGTTTCACCAGCGAAGTTAAACATGCGTTCGAGAGTTCCCAAGTTATAAGAACACTCGTTCAACCCGCGAGAGAGGTCGCTCGAAGTACGTTACGAATTCGTCCCCGTTACGAATTCAAACGCGGTTTTTTAATCCTCGTTGCGCTTCGCTCTAACCTCCCCCCCCTCTCTCTCTCTCTCTCTCTCACCCTTCCCCCTGCCGTTCGATTTAAAATCGCGCGCCAGAGCTTAGAAACTAACGGGCAGGGATCTGATCGTTCGAACGGGGCGCAGCCAATTACATCCGTGTTTCATTTCCGGGACGTTGAGAAGTCGCGGATTTATCAAAAGACACCGCGGAACCGATCGACGAGAGCAAACGAGGTCGGTCGAGGCCCGCCGCTGCTTCGGATATCCTTTGGCCGTGCTCCAATTCGATTAATTATGAAACAGGTACGCCTCTCTCTCTCTCTCTCTCCCTCCCTCTGTCTTTCTCTTAACAACCAGCCGTCCTTTCGCCTCTTTTAATTGGACGTTTCAGGATCGGTACCGGGCTCGCGAAATCGTCTTCGACCTTCTACAAAAACTGACAGTCGCCTTAGTCGAGTGGATCTCGATCGTTCGTCAGATTTTCATTAAAAAAAAAAAAAAAAAATAATATCTACAAAGCGTCGAAGAATATATTGTATTTATCATTAGTAGATGTTCACAGATATTTCTATCAGTCTACCAAGTTATCAAATTTTGTCTTCTCGCGTATTATTATTTTCCTCCAGATTCTAAAATACATTACGAAATTCGCAAAGATTTGATTGGAAAACAATTTCATGGATTAATATCAGTGATACAAGAGACTTTCACGTATGCGTCGTTCCACGTCAAAATTATCGTATGACACGTGTGTCGCGTGTACGCGATTTAATTCCGTACGATCGTTGCAATTTGCGAGAGATACCGATCTCTGTCTTCTTTGTCGATCAATCAGACGGCTGATCTTCCGATCGTGAGCGATTTTTAAAGAAGAATCGGCCCAATCTCGGCGAACGATCGATTCCCGATTCAATCGAAGAAGTACACAAGACCCATCGCCGATGGATAAATTGCTCAATTGCCGTCCGTTTACTCGGGCCGAAATTTAATCTTGCTTATTTGCTTCGGATAATTGGAGCACGGCCTTCCGCGCTCTCCTCAGAATTTCCTCTCTTCTTCCATTTATCGAACGATGATCCGGTAGCGAACCGATTACCGGTTGTGTAGTAGGCTTTCTTCGTCGATCACCCACTCGAGGAGAAAGATCTCGCGAGACGAGAGAGATTTCCTACAAGCGATTTCAATGTCTTGCCTTGTTCCTATCGCTTCGAACCGATTTTACATGCACCGATTTTACTTTCGAACTTGAGTTAACAATAAAGAGAACAACTGAAGAATAGTTGACAGCTGACATCTGCCTGAGATGTGCGTGCGTCTGACGCTCGTAGGAAATCCCTATGTATTCGAGAGATCGTCGAGACGCGAGATTGAAACTAAAGCAGAACGATCGCGAGAGAGATCGATTTTCGCGGTCGAAAAACGGGGGCCTCGGGAACTCGGTCACCACCGTCACATAGCCGCAATTCTCTCGTTCTCGTTGCGGCGCACGAGAATTTTTCAAGAATTACCTCGACCTCTCGCGAGGCGAGCAGTGAATCGTCGTTTTTATTACGGCTCGTACGAGGTGTTCCGAATGGGTAGGGAGGGGGCTTTAAGAAGCTGTAATTTCACCGGACCGGGAGAGGAACTCTGAAACACATCGTTCGTGCGATGCGAGATTTCTTTCGTTCGTTTCATCGAAAGGAAAGATCGTCAACTCGCGAAACACTGTATTTTCAGGTAACGAGATAAACGCGATGATTGCTCGTTCAAATTCAGATGATTTCTGCTTCCAACGATTTTAGTTTCCATTTTGTTGCCAGATGATGAAATATTCAATATTGGAAATCTTTTACACGCGTGGTATTCTGACGTGTCTATTTTTACAATTTTCTATTATTACACGTGTTTTACGAGACACATGTCTTCAACAGTAAAAAGTGTTTCAATTTTTGTTAGAAATTTTATGGACGTAAAATAATGTATTTTTAAACAATTTAAATGATTTCTCGAAAAATGTGCAAACAGAAGCTCGTGTAATTTATTGTATTATAAATAATTGTCTTTTTCATTTCTTCAATGTTCCTAAAAATTATGAAAATTTTATGCTTTAATCGTTAATTTTCTATCGACGATCGTTTGTATCTCACAACTCAGAGCGACAAATTCAAATTTTCCACTAGAACTAAACGTAACGTATAAACGTCTTGACAATATGCGAATCTTTTTTTTTTTTTTTTTTAACTAAAATCCTCTCGTTTTTTTTTTCGATTCCTGCCTCGCGATCGTCCTTAATTCACAAGCTCGCGGAAGCTTTCCATCCGAGAACGAACAAACGAACGATTGATTGGTCAGACCGATGCTGTTGCATGACGTTGAGGAGCGGCGGGTTCCGTTCGAACGAATTCGAACGAAGAGTGACACGGGGTGACACGGAGTGTGGCGAGGATTTGAAAGAATGGCTGCGCGCCGATCGAAATACGAAGCCGATTTACGGGGTCGCGTAATAACAATAACGGATAATCGAACCGTGGTTGCCCATCGGCCGTCCCCGATGCCGGCAAATTGACAAATACACCGGGCAAAGGAGGGGCTATCGGAAAACCAGCGTCCGGATGCTGCAGCCCACCCGTTTCAAACGGCACGAGTTCGGTCCTTTCTCTTTCACTTCACTTTTCACGCAATGATCCTTTCTTTTTTTTTTTTTTTTTTTACTACGCACGGTGAACAGCACAACTGTACCAATGACCAATGACAAATTGTCGCTGACTTAACTTTGTATTAACATACAAACGTCTCGTTTCAAAGCGCGAAGCTTCTGTTTTGACAGTCCGTAAGTTCTCCTTGTAAATGATTTTACATTATTATATAAATTCAAACACGCGTGAAAATATTTTCGTGACTAGATCTACTAGGTCACGAATACGTCATTTTATTGAGCGTTGAATATTAGAGTTAAAGAAATCTCGATATTTCGTCCTGATGCAGAAAATTCAATAAAAAGAGAAATCACACAGCGAGATTATTGCAGAGAGAAAATTTAAATCTTCGAAACCATAATCGATTTAATCGTGAAAAACATTGTTTAATGTTTTAACATATTTTTACAGTTTTCGAGAGAAAAGTACATCTCACTTTCCTACATGGTTTGAAGTCATTTTCAAAAGGAAAGAAAAACGACCTAACTACTTTTGAAATGAAGATTTTGAAATAAAAACAAGTTGATTATATGATCTTCTTTTACGAAATTAAATCAACTTAGTATCAATCATTTTTCATTGTCATTGGCGCAGTTATGCTCTTCACTGTATATTGATGGTTTTTACTTAATTAAATAATTATTTAGAATAGGAGATTCTAAGTTCGCTGATCAGTCTGATGTACATGTGTATTTTATCGAAGATGAGATATAATTTTTGCATATTATCAGCAACTGTTTGGCCTTTACCAATTAGGATTTGAAGTCATAGTTTTGATATTGTTATTCATACTCTAAGAATCCGTTTATTCTTCAAGTTTGATATCTATTCTAAATAATTACCTTTTTTTTGTTTGAACAGTGCTCATCTTCGATCGGTCTTCAAGTGGTAGAACAAGTCTCATCACTTTATGACGTACGCTCAAATGCTCAAATCCTCTAGTGTTGGTATATAACTGAATGTTGTAAAATTAATCTGATTCCCGAAATGACCAACGCTCGATCTGAACTTCGTTCTACCAATTGAGATCGAAAAGTCCAAGAAGTTCGTCAATTTTCTATCTGAAGCTGTTCTTAAACACCCTTCGCTCCAGGCGAAGTTTTCAGAG